CTTGACTCACATATACATGTGAACAAGGAACTAGTCTTAATTTTCCAAAGATGAAAATTCTCATTCACCATACAATACAACTTGCATAATTCCAAGTTTCTATCCAACTGAAACTTGGTTAATGAGAATCTTTCCTTATTTGGTAAATTATGACACTACCATAAACGAAAGAATCAAATCCATTTTCCAATATTGCTATCAATGGAATCATATAAACAACAATTTTTTTTCACAAATGTCACTGTAAGGATATTTAAAATAAATAAAAACGAAACTTTTCTTTTATTTAAAACTTGCGGAAAAACTTATCCTTACAATGCAAATGCATATGAAAACTATGTTGTTATCTATTCCTCAGCAATCTATCACAACTCTTAAGCAGCAACTCAAAAATTCTGATCACCGAACCATGCGATCGAAATCCATCTTCGCGATCAGAATCAGCTTACTCTTCTTTAAGATTCCTCTCTTTTCTTTGATTCTTAAAACTTCAACATGTGACCCAGTCACATCATGTAATAAGAATCTCTAAATAGGAACTTAACAGAGTCAGATAGTGGACTTTACCCGAAGTAGAGTTAAACTTTGACTTTTACCATCCTAGTGAACTTTCAGGTAAATAGGGCAGCTTCGCAACCAATGCCCCTTCTTTTGGCAATAGAAACTTATGGACTCTTTAGTCATGGTACACGAGACTATCTCAGACTCAGCCTTTCTCTTTACCATTTGGTCAAATGAGTTGACTATGGCCGATCCCTTTCCGTTGGGAAGAGAAAGCTTTTCTGGATTTCCAATGTCACTATTGTCAATTTCCATAGAAGTTTGGTAAGTTGATCTTCCAATCAAATTTGCTTTACCAGTGCTTCAAATCATTGATGATTCAGCAGCATCAAGCAAATAGGTAAGATCATTAAGGGTCACGTCATGGTCTGTCATATAGTAGTCCTAAAGGAACTCACTATGTGACTTAGAAAGTGATTGAAGAACCTAATCAACAACCAACTTCCTTTAGACGTTGACACCCAACTCTCCCGGCTTTTCAATATGTGACTTTATCTCCAAGATGTGAGCACACATAGACTTTGCTTGCCAATAGGGCTTGAGTGACCTTGAACTTTTCAAGAACTTGTAGGTTAGGGAGAATAATTGGAGGAGGTGAAGGAAGAGAAGTATGATTACCATGAACCAACCATTAGACATCATCTTCATTAGGAAAGCTTGTTCCTAGGGATTTGGGAAGATCATAGTTGTCTGAACCAGACATCTACAATGGGAGATATTCAAGTTAGTTGACTTAAATCCTTAATATAACACCCAATATGAAATATTAAGGCTAGGACCCAACATAATACTTTTATAACTCGGAAGAGGGATGCCGTAATCCAAGCTATAAAATATTTGAAGGTAGGCGAATGACGATTCACCAATTTCCACCATGAAAAATGAAATAATTTATTAGGTTTTAATTGGATTTGAAACTCCTAGATCTTTTGAGATTCATTGAACTTTTCAATGGCATGTTTCAATCTCGATTGTGCCCTCTCAAGTTTTGTGACTGGGATGCCGAGGATCACAAAACAAGGTGTGAATAATCATGCAAATATACTTGGTACCCTTAATATTTATTACTTAATCGATGTGTCGGTTAACCACACGCGCTCCACCGATCCTATGATAAACATTAAGTTACCTTTTGCGTACCTTGTTAAATCCAGGTTAGTGTGCCGGTTAACCACACACGCTCCACTAACGACTTAAGCAAAGTGCAAAGTGTAATTTCATGGGTTAGCACCAAATTCACATTTTCCTAAAGTAACTAAGATTGGGAATTTATAAAAGGTTTAGTTACTTTATATTTATCATTGTACTTATAATGAGAATTATAGTCCTTGTCCTACCCGTTCGGCTAACGACCCTCCACCAGTCAAGGAAGCGGTGGGTGAGAGTGGACACCCATTAAACTGCCATTTTATAGGCAGTAACCTTATACCCACCTTATAGACCAGCTTCTTGAATGAGGCCTACTAACGGTAAGACTGACTTTGTTCTTATACATACATATATATATATATATATATATTATTATTAACTTATAATACTATAAAGTATAAGGGTTGAATTTTAACTTTTAAAACTCTAGGGTTTGGAATTAAAGTGTGTGTGAGACTTTACAAATTCCAAAACTTGAGGGAAAGTTTTGAACTATTCAAAAAACTTTTGGATTTTCATAACTTATGAGTTTAATTAAGGTTTTTAAAAACTTTAATGAAGAGACTCTTGAACATCCATAACTTAAGGACAAGTTATGGAGTTCATAAAACAAAAAGACTCTTCAATTTTGTAACCTATGTATTTTAATGGATCTTTAAAAGAAATGACTTTTGGTAATCCATAACTTGAGGACAAATTATGGACTCCATTAAAATACATTTAGATCAAGAATTAACTAACAACCAATTTGCAGATAATTCCTATGATCTACCAAAAATCATAAGTGTATGAACAATCATGTCAACAATTTCAAGAATCACATAAACACACATAAAACTTGAAATTTTAATAATAACCTTGAAATTGGTTTACCATAATCATTACCACATCAAAAACAGGTTTTATAAGTCCAAAACAGTTTAAGGTAATGATTTTAGACCAATTCCAGCCTTAAAACTCGAAGATATGCTGTCAGGGGGTCCAACTCGTCGAGTGCATGAACCAACTCGACGAGTTGGATGAATTTAGGCATGGACTCGTCGATTCCCTTAATGGACTCGGCGAGTCAGCTGTCCAGACAGCATACAAACTTCGATTTTCAGTAATTTGCATCAAGTATAAAAGAAAACAAGCCTAGGCTCTGATACAACTGTTGGGTTTTGAGCATTCTAACACTCCTATGGTGTACATGCAACCCTATAAACCTTGGATCTATGTTTCTCTATTATACATGCAAATATTCAATATTCCAAGGTTTCATCCTAACTAGCATAATGTGAAGCAACTATACTACAAAAGCCTAGTTAGATAACATACCTTTTGATAGAGCTTGAAGTCTTGATCTTTAAGAGCTTAGCCCCAATAGTGTGGAAGCCTCAAGTGGAATCACAAATCACCAAAACCACCTTGGAAAACTTGAGAGAATAGAATGCACAATAGAAATCGGCCCACTCTTGTTTACTCACACTAGTGTCATTTCATGTGCCAAAGACCTCTTTATATAGTATGGAGGATTAGGGTTACATTCATGTAAACCCTAATACCCATGACCTTTCATTTCCATAGGATCCGTGGGTTAAACACTCCATGGACTATCCATGAAAGCTTAGCCCAACCTAAATGAACTTGGCCCATTCCATATATATATATATATATATATATATATATATATATATATATATATATATATATATATATATATATATATATATAATAGAGTCCATATTTAATTAGTTCCTTTTTTATCACTAAATTACTTCTAGATTAATTATTGATCAATACTAATTAAATAATATGATTCCATATTAATATATTAGAACTTATAATATATTAATATAAATCATAAACATACTATTCTCAAAAGACTATCCATATAAATTGTTCCGGTGAAGTGCAACCCAAATGGACCATGCCAAGTCGGGTCAAGTACATACCAATTATAGTTATGGAATTAGACACTAATCCAACAGCTTCTGCACGCCTACATCATGTAGTATGATAGTTGTCTGGTTGCTTCAGGTCATCCTGACGTCACACCGATTCTGGAGACTTCAAAATTAAAGGAGTGCATTTCATATGCGTAGTAGGCATATTTCAAAGGTAATTCTTCTTTTTTCAACCATAGTTACTTGTTTCATGTCCCACTGGTCCTTCTTTTTGGACGATTTTTTGTGCCCTTCTACCCTCTCTCATATATTTTCATGGAATTATTAATATTTTATGATATAAGTACCTGATTTTTTTATGCACACCAGGTGTTTGACTAAATGTTTGAACCAAAATATATATTATTATAATAAGTAAGTTAGTTCAATCTTGGAATCCATTGCACACCCAATCTTCTCTACATGTTACTGGTAAAGTAGAGAGTAAGCTAAAGCTTACCATTGTTCCAATTCATTATTACTGTTCAGGTACTATGTTTTGTCTCTCTCAATGTCTTCAATCGTACATATGCTGACTGATGGCAATTGATTTTAACATTTTGGGATTGGTAACTGTTATGCCAACAGTTATGTTCAAACAAGAATCACCTATGCCTTGTACTAACAAATGATCAGTATTTTTGTTTAATGACAATATTGTTTGTTTTCTGTTCATTGTAGGTATATGTAAAAGGTTACAGTTTTACCCTCTAATGATTTCAACTTGGCTACAGAAAAAGCTCAACAAGCAGGTACATTTGACTTTCTGGTATAAATTTTGTTTTACCAAAGCAATCTTATGTCACTTTCAGTTTGGTTGCTTTTTTTTAATTATTGAGATTTTTCCACATTGATTTGGAAGGCATGTATGTGTTCTAATCTTGACAGAAGAGTTTATTGCTACAGTTAAGTAACATGTTTTTATTGCCAGGTTGTTTTACTTCTATAATGGGTTGTTTATGTTCTAGATGTTGATTTATTTCTTGATTTTATTAATAATCAAAATTCAATATCCCAGACTTCGTCTTGGTTTCAGTCAAAGAACCATTCATGAATTTTGTGTTTAATATATAGCTTATGGGAAATCAGTTTTCAAAAAAAATTAAGTAATCTCTTTATATAATTAAATTGCAACAAAAGTTCAACAAGAAGACAATCTTACAATAAAAGAGTTTTATCCTTTTCTATTATTATTTTTTATTTTCATTCTATTCATGAGTTGTGAACTATTTGAAAAATCCCCTTTTGGCGATCCCCTTTTGGCAACCTCTGAACTATTTGAAAATAATCGAACCACATTTATGCTTTCAAGAACAAGATTCAAAGCAAGTTGCTTCATTGGTTTCTCTTTGCAAAGAGAAACCAATGAAGCAACTTGCTTTGAATCTTGTTCTTGAAAGTATAAATGTGGTTCGGTTATTTTCAAATAGTTCAGAGGTTGCCAAAAGGGGATTGTCCAAGATAAGTGAACAATATTCAAAGCAACCTGCCATAGTGACAACCTCACAGGTAAATAAAAATTTCTATATTCCAATTAGATTCAATTTACTATTATTATACATACACATGAGTAGTAATCAACCAATTGTGTTTTGATAATGATAAAAAAAATCAATTTAGTGTTTAGGAGTTGGAATTTAATTTATGTAATAGGAATTGAATCATTTACTTACAATTTCTGAACTGATTTGATTCCCTTTACTATCTCAATATGAGAATCCAGCAATACGGTCACAACTGTGATCTATTACTGCACAGTTCCTAACTATTTAAGCTAATCACATTTTTTTTTAACTTTAAACTGTTATTGTTCAGAGTCTTGTGCCAGGTGGAGACAGTAAGGTAAATTTCTAGATAGATTGGAGACAGTAAGGTAAATTTCTAGATAGAGGGTGAGGTCTACTTTGTAAAGCAAGCATATATTTATTATTATTATTATTATTATTATTATTATTATTATTATTATTATTATTATTATTATTATTATTTTCCTTAGGTTGTTATTCTTGATGAACCAACTAGTGGAATGGATCCATATTCAATGTGGTTGACATGGCAGCTTATCAAAAAATAAAAAAGGAAGGATTATACTATTAAAGACACACTCAATGGATGAAGCAGATGTACTTGGAGACCGAATAACTATTATGGCTAATGGTTCTTTGAAATGCTGCGGAAGGTTCTATTCTATCACCTTTCCATGTTTTGTGAAAACATCCATAGACTTGTGAAGGTGTTTACATCATAAGTACAATTAAACTGCTCTTTTTTGACCAGTTCCTCTTCTTGAAGCACCAGTATGGGGTTCGCTATACTCTTACTTTGGTGAAGGTGTGTTCTCTTTACTTCTCAACCTTCTTTGAGTTTCCTAACTGTGGCTTATTTCAATTTTTATTTGCATCCACTTTCCACTTTGTGTATCTTCTTTTCAGACTTCACCTGGGGCCTCCACAGCTGTTGATATTGTCTACAGACATATTCCATCAGTAACATGCGTGAGCGAAGTAATTTCTCAGATTTTATTTAAGTTTTACAACATAAGCTTGTATGGTTGCTTATTTGGACTCTTTTGATCTATTGCTTCAGGTTGGCTGAAAAGCCAAAGTCAATAACTACCTTGAGTATCGAAAAGATGAGTGATGCGTACATATCAATGGCAAGGAAAGATAGGGTATGTTTGTTGAGGAGCTTGGACAGGGCTAGAATTGATCACCTCATAAGATATACAGTGTGATACAACAATTTCCTTGTAGAATTAGTAATCCATAATTAGATATAGTAATTTCTTTTTTTTATATATTTATATGTTTATTTCTACTCAGTTAAATATAATTATATCTTAGCTTGTTACTATAATATGTTTTTCCATTGACATGGTAGCTATTAAGAGACCTCGAATAACTGTACGTTGATGAACAACAAGCTTCGGTTCATGTCATTTATAATTCTTTAACAAGGTATAAAGGAAAAACACAATATTGTTTAATGCTTCATAATTACATGTTTATATTCTCAAATCATTTAAACACCACACATTTTTATATACATTGGTTGAAGATATTTCTGTATAAAGTTTTAAGTGTATAACTTGTTTGTATAAGAGAGAGTAAACAGAAGCTTGAGGAGTTATTACAGAAGTGGCCTGAATGGCATAATCGACATCAATCTTCATCTCATGTAAATTGCTTGTATTTTTATTTTTTATTTTTTATTTTTATTTATGTTCGTAAATATCTAAATTTCTCAATTGTTCTGGATTCAAATGTTGAGGTGGAATCTGGTGAAGGGACGTATTTTCCAGCTCTTAATGTTGGTCTAGATAAACCTTCTACACTGGTATCAATTCAATCACTTTATTAGAAAGACCAAAATACCCCTATGTTGCCTTCTGAAACATGTGTATTGTTTTGTGTAGTCGTTCTAGATGGATGGGCAAACTAGTACTTTACAAAGCAAGGAAGTTATTGCATTGGATAACAATTCAGTCCCGCTTTATGATCGAGGGTACACTTTCGAATTAACTTCAACGGATGATCCAAGTAACATATTAACTCCAAAGTATTGCTCATAAAGAGAAGGATATCTGCTCGAAGAGACCGAAAGACAATTGTTTTTCAGCTCTTAATCCCTGCTATATTCTTGTTTATTGGCCTTCTCCTCCTTGAACTAAAGCCACATCCTGATCAACCCTCCATACCTTATACTATCCTTCTATATACAGGATGAAATTCTAGAGTTTAAGAAGAGAGTTGATGAATTTGAGTAGAAATTCAATGAAGTTGACAATGAGAGCAAAAATAGACTTAAAGAATTGGAGGAATCACAAGCAAAAATCTCAGGACTTGAGGAGACCATTGAAAGGTAGCTAAACCACAATAAGCCATTTTTATTTTTTGTGTTGTCCAAATAAAAAAATATTTGAGAGAATTTGACTTTCGTTCTTTTAAGTTTTTTAGTATTACATTTAGTGAAAAAGAAACTCACCCATATAAAGCTTAAGTTTATTTATTTATATGAAAGTACATTGCTATTTCTTGACTTTGTATTTTATATGTACATTATCAGGTTAGATGCAAACTTATCCAACCTTGAATCAGAAAATCAAGTTTTGAGACAACAAGCATTGGTTGCTTCAAAAAATGAAGACCTCATAGAAGAAACTGAAAAGTAAGAGTACTATATATATATATATATATATATATATATATATATATATATATATATATATATATCTCATATTTTTTACCTTCTTTTCTACTCAATTACATGTTTCATATCTTAAGTTCTTCAAATATGGTGGCATGTGGAACATTAACTATTTGTTAAGATTTTAAAGTTTTATGTTCCCATATGTGTGCCACCTGTCAATTATATTTTTGGACACTAAAATGTCTAAGTTGATTCTAACAGAAGATATTGTGTACGTGTTCTTGTGCTGCTATTGTCTATTCAGGAACATCCTTGCTTACTGGTCCAACTGTATGTATTCACGTGAAGCTTTTGTTAGAACTTTTAATCTCAGGGATTTCAAGTTTTTCATATTTCTTGTATCTAATTAGTTTGTAAATTTTTGTTACAACTTCTATTGATTTGTTATTTCTTTCCATGGAACGATCATTTGTATGAAATTAAATTTTATTCAATGGATTGTATTTTTTGTATATGATATTTTATTTTCTATTATGAGACATTAAATGCAAATTTAATTTGAAAATTAGTAAATCTATAAATAATATTTTTTTTAAACATTTAAAATTACGATACGCAAAAATGTGTGTCATCTTCATTTATGACATGGACTTTCTTGACAGGGGCTTTAATGACACGCAATGCGAGTCGTAAATGCGCGTCGTAAGGTTACGACACGCAAATGCGTGTCGTCTTTCTTTATGACAATGCATTCCTTGACACGCAATGTGTGTCGTAAATGCACGTCGTAAATGTGTGTCGTAATTGTGCATCGTAAATGTGTGTCATAAATAGACGACGCGCAAAAGCGTGTTGTCTTTCGTTATGACATGGCCTTCCTTGACACGCATTTGCGTGTCGTCTGAGCGTTTTACGACACACATTGCGTGTCGTGAAAGGCTGTTTTTGTAGTAGTAATAATTAAGATATTGTAATTGACCTCCATCAAATATATCAAAGCCATATATAAAAAGAGACAAATATTTATATAAAAGAGACAAATATTTATGTGGAAAAGTTAAATAAGAAAAAAACATGATAGAAAAAGTTGAGAATACATGAGGTATTAACAAAATTACAATAAGTTTGTATTATGATTTGGTGATTAGGGTTTAAAACCCCTCTTGATTTTTCTTTATGCTATATGTCAAAGAAAATAAAACAATACATTCACTAAAATGATCATATAAAATAAAAGTGTATCTCCACATTGATAGGTTTTATAGATTACAAAAAAATATGTGGCAGAAAAAACTTAACCCTAAGTTCAAATGCAACCTATTGGATCTAAGTTTTCTCTATTGATTACAACAAACAATTGAACATCAAGAACCCTAGGAATACCCTACTATTTTCAAAATTCATAAAGGGTTTTAGAGTTTACATACCTTTTGATTATTGTAGTAAATATCAACAATTCCTTCTTGAAGAAACTTTAGAAAACAAGTACCAGAAATCTCGTGCCTCTAATGGTTTGTACCCAAACCCTAGCAATAGAAGACTTGAGAGGAGAGAGGAGGGAGGAGGGAGGGTGGAATGTTCGGCTTTTCTTCTTGAGAAAGGAGTGGCCGAAATTATGAGATATAAGGCTCCTTATATAGCCGAACAAAGAAACCCTAGAAACCCTAATTTGAATATAATACTATAATCTCAAATTAGGTAATTATCCATATTCCTAATTATCATTAAGGATCAATATAGAAAGCTAAGGAGGCTTCAAATTTTCGGCCATACCTAGAAAATTCTAGAATCCTTCTCTTGTTCAACTATTGAATAATTACAACTTATGTCCTTGCACTTTTAATTAATCCAAATAATCCCACTATTAATTCCAATTAATTATTAATTAAATAATATTATTTTTAATTAATACATTAATCTCCTAATATATTAATAAATTATTTATTTGTATATATTAATCTTATAATAAACTAATAAATCAACCTCTCTTTCCAAAAAGTCATTCTGTCAATTACTAGTTTTGAGGGCAACCCAAAAGAACTTTGTTTTTAATTCAAGTATATATCAATTTAGTTAGTGGCTTAGATATCTAATCCAACATACATAACCATCTTTTTTCAGATTCTAACAAAATAAACATATTCTTTACGAATAAATGCATTCAAACTCACGAGAACATCCTGTTTGAACGTAGCATCACCAGTATACATTCGTAGGGACACTTTATTCTTCGTGGAGATAATTTTATATGATTCAGTTGTCTCTAACAAATAATCGCTAAGCATACATTTGCACATATTTATTTGCGAGGAGTATTGTTTTGCACTTTCCTTGATGTTTCGTTCAACCGTGAAGACGTAAATGTTCATCGATAAAGTGATGCAATGTAAACTACTTCCATCTATGTAAGTGTTTGGTGATTATTTGATTACATATTTTTCTAATAGTTTCAATTTGATTCTTTGTCTCATTCCAACTGTTGATAATTTGTTATCATCTTATTTCTATTGTGTTTCAATTCAACACCACGTTTAAAGTATGTTGTTCCTAGTTGATACTGATTGTTGGTGCTTAGGCTCCCATCCTGTCATTACTTTATTTATGTGAGATTGAAGACTAGTGTACGAGGATGCAAAATGCAACTTATAATGATCAATATCTCAATTATCACAGAGAATAAATCATATCTCTCCGTGCTTTGGATGTTAAAATTTATCAATACCGTATCATCCTCAAGGTCAAATAATGATTGAGCAATGATAAACTAAAGGATATGGGATAATCTATCATTTGTTGTAAAAGAAGCCAGCAAGATCCATAACATCAAGCAGATCAAATGTAATCACAATGAAGATGAGATATATGCGTCACTTAAAGAATGTTCCATGGATCCAAACGAGACTACTTAAAAGCTCCTCATACATAGTAATTTTAGGGATTTGATTTTGCAATTGCATATTATAGGTGTTTGGTTTGGGATTTTTTTGTTTCTTGTTCTCTGTTATTCTTATTCAATTAATTTATGAGCGAATCAGGTTCTCATCCACAACATATACGAACCAATTCGAAGAGCTTACGACCATTTTTTTTACTTTCTTCAAACTTCCGTAGACCTAGAAGATCGCAACCTAAAAATCACCAAAATATGGGTTTTAAACCTTCATCTTTAAAGTTTCACCTTTAAGGGATTCAAATCCTCATTGGTGTGTTGAAGATGATTGTGAAGCAACATCTCTAAGATGAAGATGAAACCCCCACTCTATTTTCTTTTCTAGATCCACACTCATTAAAACCCCAAAGCTCGAACTTACAAAAACACCTCCGTTTTTTAAATTTTGAACTCATGAACAAAATCATTGAATGCTTGAGGAAGTCGTGGAGAGGAAAGGGTGAAGAAATTTTGGAGAAGAATGCATGAGAAACCATCATCTTCGCCTTTTTTTTAAAATTTTAATTTAAGAGAAATCATTGTTTTCATGCAACCCAAATCATAAAAACCCAAGACCAAATACAAATGTTCCAAAATCAGTGTATCATAATTTCTCCAAAACATGTCACCGAAGGATGTGTACGATCATGCCTTTTCTTTTCCCCGATCATCTGAAGTACCTGAAACATAAAACTTAAACCGTAAGCCAAAGCTTAGTAAGTTCCCCTAAATACCGCATAATAGAACATATACAAATAATACATATTGGGTCCACAACCTTCCGATTGGATTACCTTTGGCCCACAACCTTCCAGTTGGATTGCCTCCTTCTACCCCACAACCTCCCGGTTGGATTGCCCGGGTTTGTTGACTGGCAACACAAAACAATACAACCTCAACCCAACCATACTATGTCGACATGCATAACAGATAAAACACATAACAACAAACAGATAATCATGCAAATTTTAACAGATCACTTCAACATAGCAGCATTCTAAACTAGATTACACAATCTACTGGGTCGACATTGGTTCCTTCGACCCACAATTACAGTGAGGAAAACTCACCTGAACCACTCGACAGAAGCTCAACAGCTACCTCAGCATCAGAACATCCAACCTAAACTTCCTAAAACCAAACTGGTACCAATCCTTAGTCAAATACTCAATTCTACCCAAGTTTGACCAAAAGTCAAACTATTCAAAAAGTCAATTGTCAAAGCCAACGTCACGTCGTGACCATTCCCTGGTCACGTCGTGTGAATGAAACGAAAAAACAATCGCGATTCTGGGTACTGTCACGTCGTGACACATCCTATGTCACGTCGTGACTTCTTGTCAGAAGGCTAAAATCTTCATTAAGTGCTTAATCTCTTCAGAACAAGGCCCATAACCTCAGATCTAGACCCTAAAGAGTTTCATAATGGATAAAGTTTCCAACTTTATCCATTAGGATGGTCCAAACAACCAAGATATAGTCTTTAAGTCTAAAAGGGACCAAGAATGCATCTTTTTTAGCTAAATCCACTAAGTCCAAGACTCCAACCTTCAGATCCGAATCAACATGATGTTTAGATGGATAAAGTTTCCAACTTTATCCATAATATTGTCTGAAGCTTTCAAGATCTAAACTTTAATACACCAAAATGACTTAAATGACAAAGATAACTTGCATGGTTGATAGGGAAGGCAAAAGATCAAAACTTTCCTAGTCCATGAGATCTAAGAAAACATTCTAAACTGATCAAAAGATGTTGGAGTCCAGATCTGAAACATACAAGGTTCTTGGGACCTAGGAGAGTAATAAAGTTGCAAACTTCATTCTCAACTCTCACTCAAAACTCATTAAAATGGACCAAAACACCAAATATACTTACAACCAAGATGAATATGGAATAAAGCTTGGGACTTTATAACTTACAAAGGTCTAAAAGGTAGATGAAAGTTGAGAACTTCAATTGCCAAGCTTCAAGGATCAATCTTGCATGAAAACATTGCTCCAAAATCACCAAAAAAGGATGAGAGAGAAGAGAGGAGGCTCAAATCTTGAAAATGGAGGCTAGGGTTCTCCCAAGGGTTTTTAGATATGATGGAGGTTAAGAAAATACCCTAAAACATGAATCCTTACCTTTAAATACCTTGAAAACCCTAAAAATTTTGTGGGCTTTGGGCTACACAGTTCTCTTGTCGTGAGAAGTAATTCTCACCTCGTGAGGACTCTCACGTCGTGAGAATTACTTCTCACCCCGTGAGAATGAGTTTTCACCCAATTTCACTCCAACTTCAAACAATCATAACTTCTTCGTTTCAACTCCGTTTTCGGCGATCTTTATATCCACGTAAAGGTATTGACGAACCCCACACTTTTATTTAGTTAGTTTTGGCGAAAAAATGTCGAACTAAAAACCATAATTTGTGAAAGAAGTCTGAAACATCAATTTTCCCATTTTACCCTTTGACTCCAAGACACAAACCAATGCTTTTATCACTTATCCAACATTATCATCATCCAATAAGGTCTAAACCCCATTCCCTTGAAGCCCAATGCGTTTACTTGATCAATTTATTTTCCACGATCCCGAAATAAGAAACTTCTCGAAACAGGATGTTACAACCGGAAAAAGTCATATTATATTTTTTTGACGGGTAATTTAACAGTTTGGGGACTTAGAATGAAAACAAAAATATGGATTCCAAAGTGTGATTAAAAGCAATAGTTTGTTAGGTAATGATGACATTATCCATTTAAAGAACTAGTTTGTAAATTACTTTTGGTTTCCCAAACATATCGTATACTAATTAAATTTCGAACGTTGTTTTACATGGATTTTACGTTGATGTCCATCAAAATTGGATCAATTGCATGTCGTGTGTTTGGTTTCCCAAACATATTCTTGAAATCTACATCGAAATATTTTGACTAATACATTGCCGTTGGAAAGAAGGAAGTTTCTAGAGAAAATTTGTAATATCCTATTCCAAATAAGTGGCATTTTATGATGAACTAGGGATGAGACCGATGAGGGTTCTTTTTTTGGACACCATTTATATATCATTTATATTTTGTCAACATCTAATCTAATATTAATATTGATATCATCTTAAACATATTTCAAAGATTTTGTATGACATGTCACATACGATATGCCATCATCCTTTTGCATCTTTTTGCTAGTGGACTTCATGCTCATTGACAAAAGATCGAATATAACTTTCTCTGGTTAACCAAGTATGCATTACATTCACCTCATTGACTTTATAACAATGCTTGAAACAAAATGCCAAAAAAAGAAAAATGGTTGAGCGTAACTTACATCAAAACTACTTAGAAAATAACAACGGGATAAAAATATGATCTCTAAGCTCTTTTTAATGATTTATATGATCATGATAACATTTGTGGGCTTATGGCTTCTTTATATAGTCTTTCTCAAATTTCCCAAGTATCCATCAACCAAAAATCAGCACGAGCATACATCAGACCAACCCCTTTACAGACAGCCATTTCAACGACTAAATTGCACCATGGTAAGACATGCACCTGTAATTCAAAACCAAAAAACCCAAAAAAAAAAAAAAAATGATCATATTAAGATTCTTGATGAAATTATTGAAGTATGTAGGCTTGTATTTAACATTTAAAGTTATAAAAGACTAAAAAAAGTATGCTATGATGTAGGCTTCAAAACAAATTGATTTAAAATGGAAAAGAAAAAACAAAAAAATGAAAGTAAACTCTTTTTTATTATAAAATTAACCGATACTGCTATAACTTTTACTCATCAAAATTCATTAATCCAGTAATCTAATTAACCAAACCAAAAACATTTTTTTCTGCAACTTTTACTGCAAAAATCAGATACTTCTACAACATTTATACTAAAAAAAATCACATTCATCTAGTTATACAAAACATGTTTTACCTAGATTTGGGTCCATATCCGCCTTCCAAACTACCTACTTGTCTTGATACATCTTTTATTCTGTTACAAAACCTGAATAACATAAAAGTGAAACTAATTAGCAACCTAAAACCAACATGCCGACATAATTTATAGCTTAAATTTATTACAATTTGTCTTCCATAGCAGACAAAAGCCAGCCACATATTCACCAGCAAAAGTAAGTCCAACTTGCAGGGGTTTGCTGCAGTCGTTCTTTGGTGTAAGGATCACATAGTTGTACATTTTTTTGGTGCGATAAATCAATAAAAAAAATGAATAGATAATTGAAAATGTAGTGAGAAAGATGTTAAGTAGTTAACATGGAAAAGATCACAAAAGCTACCAACAGGAATGTGGTTATACACAAGCAATTTTTTATCCTTTAAGTAATATAAGACTCTCAACGGAACCCCATTTTTGTTATCTATCTTCACTAAAACCTCCGATTGTGATTTTAATTCACAGTTTGCTTACCACCATATCTTTCATTATCATCACTATATGAAGCAAACACCTTTAAGGTAGTTTCTAAATCACACCGGATTCTATCAATTCTTAAAAACAAAGTCGTAATTTCCGAACAATAAAAATACGTGGCATACCTGCTGAAAGGATGACATAAATCGGTGTCTTGGTCTACTAGGCCTTCAATTCCAGGATATTAAAGCTAAATGAGAAAACAGTCATCAAATAAATATAAAATAGAATCACTAATCTTTATTATTTGGATCATAAATATATAACTGAGATGTCCAAAAGAGCGAAAGTGGATGAACAAAAGAGAGAAATTGAATTTGGGTTTGGAGAGACGAGAACATAAGCAATCACTTGAAGGCCAAAATGTTAAAATGTTGTTTTTAAACATTGTCTACTTCTACTGGGCTTTTCATCGAATACCTGGAGTACGGGTTTGGTGACACCATCGCACCTGATCAAGAATAAAATTGAAACCAATCTTCCCCAGTCCAGACCACCTTCTTCACGTCATCAACCACCAAACATAACGGAGGCGACGTTTTGACTGGCATTCCTCCACCCCGTCGTTCTCGTCCCCTATCCCTGCGCCATACATATCCTTCATATCCTACACATGAACACCGCATTCAGATTACTACTGACTAAATAGAAAAAGAAGTGAAGGAAATAAGTAGATGAAGAACGGAATCAACAATTACGTGAAAAATTAAGCTGTCGAGAAAAAAAAAATCTAACAGTTGGGAAGAAGATAGCAAAGAGACGAATCTTGAAATTTGTATATTTCTGTTTCTCTATCCGACCGTCGTCTGTAGTTTGCTACGCCAGAGCATGGACGAACCCTAGATAGAAAGATGTAGGTGGTAGTGACTGGTCTGACGACTTAAGAAGCATCAGGGAAATCAACGACTTGACTGTGGTGAGTATCCGACGGGGTAGAGGGAGAACCAAAGAGGATAGAAAAGAGAAGGCGGTGGGAAGCGAGGAACAAATATAGGAAAAAAAAAGAGGCGATGGAGGAAGCAGCAAATTTGATTGGGGGTAAAGTGCGGTGGAGGGACCAAAATGTCAATGCAACAAACCACTGTAGCCAAAGTCTGAATGAGCATAAATAACTGTTCACAAAGGGACTAAAACGTCAATAAATGAAAATAAGGTAGTAAATGTCAACAAATTGAAATAAGGTGGCAAAAGTCCGAAAGTGGAAACTTTGGTGGCGAAAATCTGAAAGGGAAAAATAACTGTTGGTAAGGCTACTCACAATTTATGTTATATATAATATATAGTGGGTGGCATAGAGAGTGAGTATGTTGCATTAGGGAGGAGGGAGTTGTTCCCTCTCAACCCACCGAACCCACTGCCATATTAATTTTTTTCTTTTATTTTTCATCTTTTCGAACCCACAACATACGAATCCTATATTTTTGAACCCACTCAACCCACTCAATTAAAAAAAAATACAAAACAACTAAGGTACAAGTTTTAAAACACATGGTACAAGAGAAAATAAGAAAGAGAAAGTAGAGAGAGATAATGAAGTGGGTTAGTGAAACCAATCAACCCATTCGTTGAAGCGGGAGTGGTACCGCCGATAACTCTATTGCTAATTAAGATTTTACATTTGATTGTTTTGTATTTTTTTTTAATTGAGTGAGTTCAAAAAGATAGGATTTCCATGTGTTGTGGGTTCGAAAAGATGAAGAAAAATAAAAAAGAAAAAGTGATGTGGCAGTGAGTTCAGTAGGTTGGAAGTTGGGAGGGAATGACTCCCTCCTCCTTTAGGAACCAATGATGTTTGTAGTGCTCTTCCTTTGGAGTTACTTTCAATTACAGATAAATTATAATAATCATTTTTTAATATGAAAATCTACGATATCTTTATGGACAAATAAAATATAAATAAAAATGGTGAATTTTGTATATATCATTTCTAAAAATTAAAATATCATATTTATTTAATTTAATTTCTAAATATCAAATTTATTTTATATAAGTTTATAAAATATTATATTTGCTCAAATCCTTACCTTTTAATATTAAATAATCCTTTTAAATCATTGCATTTACAAGTTTACTATTTTACCCTCCCAATCAATAATACATCACACGTCTTTCTCAAAATCAGAATACTTTCCAAAAGTGTGGCTTTCATAATAATCACATGGTGTCTATATCTTCTTCAAACCCTCCTTACATTTCTTAATAACGCATTGTGGAATCCCATTAGCATACAATCAATAATGAATTAGCATACAAACGATGATGAAATCCCAAGGAATCAAAGTTCTCCTCAATGAATTTTATCGTGTAAACACTAGAGTAATCATTGCCATGACAAACCAATCCATGGGCTAGTCAATCGATATATTATACAATATATTTGCAAGAATTTAGCCATATGTTAAATTTTATTTCTAGACATAAACAATATTGACTTAGATTACACAATATTTTTTTTTGTAAACATGAATTTTGCAAATACACATAGTTCACAAGACAATTTTTTGCTGTAGAACTAGTTGTGAGACCAATGTATTACATGTGTTGATTTAAAAAAAAAGATCAAAATATTTGAGAACTTTAAATTTATAAGAAAATAAAAAAAATAATGATTTATTATAATGGAAATATTTTTATCTTTTAAATTTAAACAAATAATTTAAATAAAAAAAAGAAACTAAAGAATTTTAAAATTAAAAGATAAGTTTATTAGTGAAATTAATATTCATTTATTACTATTATTATTGCAATTATTACATTAAAATATTATGTGGAATTTAATAAAATAGAAAAACTAATAAAATGACATGTGGAAAAAAAAACTAATTCAAAATAACCACAAAATGACATTTGGCATATTGAATGAGAATGTGACAAGTGACAAAAAAAACATTCATTTATTAGAGATGATATGAACTTGTAAAGGAAGTATTAAATAATCGAGAAGGAGCTTTTCCTAAAATGGAAATGAAAGGGTATGCAAAAAAAATACTTAGGAAGAAAAGGGTATAATAGTCAATTGATAAAAAAAAAATATTTAGAATGCTTATAAAATATTATAAATTACATATTTTGGGCAAATTTGATATTTTGAAAGTTTAGAAGGGTAAATATGATATTTAAAAATTAGGGTGAACAAATATGGTATTTTGATGTTTAATAGAGTATATATAGAATTATCCTTAAAAAATATAAAGAACATATTTCTACATATTAATTAAGTTGCTAGGTTTTTTTAGTAAAAAAAATTGTGTTTCTCATATGATTTTATCTTGGTAAATCATTAGGATCTTTTTTTTTGGTAGGGTCGAAGGTATGATCGTTGTTATTATTATTATTATATATATATATATATATATATATATATATATATATATATATATTAAATTTCTAATATTTTATTTTGAAAAAAAAACTCGAAAAAAAAGTTTCGTTTGGAAGTAGGAGCTTCTAGCTTTTAGCTAAAACAAAAATTCTAATCCAAAAGCTACTTCAAGTAAAGTTTAACAAAAAAACATTTTATAATTTTGCAAATTGACTTAATTATCATTTTTTAAAATTAATGGTGTGTTTTAGATAAGTTTTTTTATGTAATTGTACATGTTTTAAAAGTTTTCAACTACATTTGTCGAACACTTACATACAGATAAAAAAATACAACTTTCAACTAGTTTTGCCGAACATACTATGAACACTACAAAACTTATAATTAATTAATTATTGTTAACTGTTGTATTGAAGATGTATTTTCTATGTTTTAAACTATTTATTATTAACTAAATATGCATTTTATATGTTTTAAACTATTTATTATTAACTAAACGATTAACTGATTTGTTATATGTATTTTTTTATGTTTTAAACTATTTCTTGTAGTATTTAACGACCCCGATTCGATCTTACAATCACGATATTGCAAAATAAAGAATGATCATACATAATTTTAATATATTTTTCATAGAAAATTTATAATTGACAAAATTTCACAAATGGTCCTTATGATTTATTTTTTCCTTAAAATGTTCCTTATGAAACATTTTTTTTGCATCAATGGTCAATTTCAACCAAAAATTGTTACACCAATAATCATTATGTGAGACATCCATTTGAATATGTTAAAAAGTAAGGGTTAGGGTCATGTAAATTTACCAATATATCATTAATAATTTTTTTAAAAAAAATGATATATAATTAAAAAAAGATAGTTGGTCCATTTGGTTTCCTCGTCCGAAGCATTGTCTCTCTCTCACTCACCTTCAACTCAACACACTAAAATTTGATAAACATACACACATACACATGGGTAGACCTTGGTGGTACTTAATAGTTTCATAATATATAAAGTTTCCAATTTTATCCATTAGGATGGTCCAAACAACCAAGATTTAAACTTTAAGTCTCAAAGAGTCCAAGAATGCATCTGTAACGTCCCAAAAATAAGACTATAAATTTTTTCATTTTTAGACTAATAAAGCCACAAACCATATCATTGTCTAAAATACAAAGTAATCAATTTTATCAATACACCATCATTATCATAGTAAACCACAACTGCGGAATCGAATGGTGTGTGCTCTGCAATCATCCCGAGCTCTTCCATTTGAAAACTGAAGTACCTGAAACATAAACTGAAAACCGTAAGCATAAAGCTTAATGAGTTCCCCAAGATACCACATACCACACATACATAAATCACATACTGGGCCCCCGCCCTCCATCGGGCCTCGCCCGGTATCTGTTACAACTGGCAGATTAGGGCTAGGTTTCCTATCCATGTACAAGATAGTTTCTTTGTGTAACTATGTAACACTACGTGTAGTATAAATCGACGTCATTGTTATTTAAGTTTATACATCCAAAAATTGTGAATTTAGTCGAAACCTCCTCGCAAAAGCCCAAAACCTAACCCAATAAGCTATGTCCACTCAACTTTGGACCTTAGCCCAAGCCTTCTCGGCCGAAGCCCCTATTTGGGCCAAGCCTCTCCTATTGGGCCCTAATGGGCCGAATACCTCTATTAGGAAATATTTTGGGCCAAAAACCCTCTAATGGGCCCTTTTGGGCCGAAAGCCTTCACTTAGAGTCTCATTAGACCAAAGACCATTCTTTGGGCCCTAATGGGCCAAAAATCACTATTGGGCCCTCTCTCTAAACCAAAAATCCTTATTGGACCCAATCCATTTCTTTTGGACCTATTATTGGGCCGAAACCATTGTGGGCCCAATCCAAGCCCAAAAACTTGTGCCAACCGAAAACGCTATTGGGCCTAGGGTGTTCTCGGTTTCCCTTCAAGCCCAAAAATCCTTTTTTTCTCTTTTCTCCTTTGGGCCGATCGGTTAGCCCATTTAATAAAAAAAAGACTACATAGAATAAATATGATGCCACCTCAAGTTTACACTTCATATAACCATGCATTACCCTTCATGTATCTAAGCAACTCACATCAAACATAACTAAAGTCAACCCCTATCATCCCCATCTCCCCCTTTATCGGCCGAACACCACCGCCATTCCCTCTCCACTTTTCATTTCCAAACTCAAACTCTTAGCTCATTTTCTCTCAACACTCAAGAAACTCTCTCATCTCCTTCTTCAAATTTTGTGGGTTTTGTGTGTGTGTGTTTACAAGAAAGTCTTCTTCAAGCTCCATAACTTGGTAAGTTTTTGATAAACTCTATAGTTCTATTCCAAGCTTACACTAAAACTCTTTCCTCATACCACTTCATTTTCGTGATTATGCTCTTAGAACACCATAACTTCACAAATCTCCTCAAGGAAGCAAGCTAGGGCCGAAAACCTCATTCCTCTTCCTCTATAAACGGAAAAATCTCCCAAGGTGAGCTTCATACCCCTTGTTTTCGAGTTTTCCTTCTTGGGGGGGGGGGATACAAGTC